CATGGCCATATAGCCCGAAAAAACCCACAAGAACTGAGTGATTCCGGCCATGAAAGCCTTCGACAATAAACAATTATATTAAAACATTAAAACAGTTCATTAAAACAGTAAATTAGCCACAGCAGTTAAAAACACATCCAAGTCTGGGGATTAAATTGTGCAAAACAAGGTGGCTGGGGAGGGAACGAAGGGCCTGCTGCCTCCCCCCACCTTCCCTCAGCCCCATCACTGCTTAGAGGGGCCATTGAGGTTTCTTCTGACCCATGGCTGCTGCCCAAAAGGGACCTGGAGATCTTTATGAAGTCTGGTGATGTCATCTGACCCATCAGTGCTCAGAGGGTCAAACCTTTATGAAGTCCTGTGGCTGATACCTAAAAGGGGGCCTGGAGACCTTTATGATGCAAGCTGGACTCCTCCCAAGGCTTTGCATCTGTCTCTCCAGCCAGCATTAGCAAAGGTCCCAAGGTGGCAATGTCACCTTGGGTTTGCTGATGATGATGGAAGAGGCAATGCTAGACATTGATTATTACATCAACTGTGGATTGATTTTAATTCTGGTAATCAATGCATTAACTTTCTACTTGATTTGGGAGCTCCTGAGAGAGAACCCTCCATTATGGTAGGAACTGTGTCAAATATCCAACAGATGCCTTTCTGTCTGCCTTGGAATTGTGTCCTGGCTTTGGCCCTTTGGAGAACGGGTGAGTACTTTTGCCTCTATAAGTGGCCCAAAAAACCAATGGCTGAGCACCAAGGAACTGAGTGTTCTGTCCATCTGTATAGACCTGTGCAATCAATGGGTGTAAAAATCAATACTCATTACTAAATTTTGTGTGTGTGGGGGGGGGGGGGGGGGGGGGGAGTGAATCATTTCTAAAGTGTTTCCAAAATATCATAAGAGGTCCATATCATAATTATAACAATATAACATTTTTGTTACTTTTTTGTATAAGAGCTGTAAGTCCAGAGCTATAAGTTTCTGGGCACATTTGCTCAAGTAAACAGTATAAACACGACCCTGGTGATAAAGCATTTTTTTAACATATACAAAAGAGATTATATTATCAAGTCTGGGAGATCGCTGAAGGGATATTAGGCTCAGAGATCACCCTTCTCAGAAGCTTCTGTTAATAGAGGACACTGGGGAAAACAGATGCCTTCACAGTACATACTCCACTTAGGCAGATACTCCACTTAGGCAGAAAAAAACAAAATGCAAAGATACAGAATGGGGGACGCCTGGCTTGAGAGCAGTACGTGTGAAAAAGATCTTGGAGTCCTCGTGGACAATAAGTTAAACATGAGCCAACAATGTGATGTGGCGGCAAAAAAAGCCAATGGGATTTTGGCCTGCATCAATAGGAGCATAGTGTCTAGGTCCAGGGAAGTAATGCTACCCCTCTATTCTGCTTTGGTTAGACCACACCTGGAATATTGTGTCCAATTCTGGGCACCACAATTCAAGAGAGATATTGACAATTATTTATTTATTTATTATTTATTACTTGCATTTATTAACCGCCGCTCTCAGCCCTATGGGCGACTCGCGGCGATGTACAAAACATAGAAAAGACAATTTACAATAGATCAAGACAGCACAACAACACTCTACTACTACACAACAT